GGACTAAGAGCTTAAGCAAATGAAGTTCTTTTTAAAAAGACACCTTTACATTAGGCGGATAGTATAATACTATAGTAACCCTTGTAATCACCACGTGATAAATGCTACCGCGTATTTAAGGACTATAAAATACTCGAGTAACCTTAGATCAATTATACTGCTGTACTTAGGTAAATACCTGGTAAGTAATATTAAAGCTTCTTTTGTTTTTAAAATGTATTAAAAACATTATTTGCCAAATTTTTAATCAACCTATAATTAAGTAATATAACTAAATGAACTTCAACTTTAACCAAACGTAAAAAAGGAGGAAACGTAAGTTACGGTCAAAAATAAAGGCGAAACTAATACTTTTGGACTAGGATCATTTAGTGCCTCGTGGCCGCCCCGGCAGTGTAACTAGTAAAACCGTGGCCTGGTTGTATATATGTACAGTCATATAAGTACATTTAATAAATGCGGTGGTCGTGTGTGGATGATGGATGGTGGATGGCGGATGCAGCTGCTATGGTACCTACTTGTAGGTATCTCTCCCCCAATCAGCATATATTGGCCCCTCTCCAACAAACGTGCTTATTCCTCCACCGCACATGGCGAGCATGGCAAGCCACAAATGACGGGGATTTGCAACTTCGAATGGCAGGTGGCAGCCCACTTGGCAGATGCACTAAAATATAATATCCACATCGTAAATGACCAATTGATTCCATCCCAAAATTCTTCACTAGGTTCATTAGACCCAGATCCGAAAGCGGGCATGTTCGGGTTTCAAATGCAGGTCGACCAAAACCGAAGATGCTACAAGCCGCCCAAGAAGTTTTAAAAGGGGATCGGGAAGTTTTCCAGAATAATTGACCACGTTTTAGGAGACTCGCAGCTATTAAGATTCGATACACGGACCGCGCTACTATTCCGAGAAAATTCTCTATCGTCCATGGTGTCAGGGGTTGAAATCTATCGTTGCGCCCAACGTACATACTATTAGTTAGGTACCTACTTGGGTAGCCCTTCACGGCATGGCAGCATGGGAACCTAGGATGTTGCTGTATCGCTGTACCGTAGTACATCGCGTGTACCGTTCTGTAAGTAAGCCAGCCGTACATAGCGGGGCACGCATGTGGCTCCCGCCTGCGCTATAGAGGTACCTCCTAACCTAGCATATACTTACAGCATCTAAGCAGCCTAGGGCAGGCTTCCCATGATAGTGGACCACTGACTTACAAGGGGGATACACTAGTAGACCCCTCTGCGCTAGAACGCTAGAACATTACTGACCCTCATAGCGCTATAATCTATTTTTGTACTGGGTACTTGACTCTCGCCACTCATCGCAAGCCGTTCGTAAGTTCCCTGCACCCTGTACATAAGGTATGTAACGCTGTCGCCCTACCCACCTAATCTGAACTGGGTACATAACGTGTGCGTCTATCCGTTAGGCAAATGGCTAGTAGGTTCAAAGTACCTAACGGGCCTGGGGCTTCCTTAAATGTGAACGTCTCTCCCAGGTACTGGTTTGATTTACATAGAGAGCTGATACCTCTGATAGGTACCTCTTAGACTAATACTTACATGTATCCTTCTACCTTCTCTACCCTCAACCACTTCTACCACCCCCGTCCCGCTTCTCAATCGTTCCCATTCTATGCCTTCAACTTGAACTCCACTCCCTCCTTCTCCTCTCTGCCTTATTTCAGTTTCCTCTGTTGGATCCGAGCCGTTATATCATCCTCATGCTATTATTTGGCCCGCTTATGCAAACGTAAAAGGACTCGTCTGCTTTCCCCCGTCTCGATGGTAAGTATAGGTTGATGGCTGCAATCTCCCAAACCTCTCAAACGACATCGCTTCCTATACACGACCACGAGCCTCGCCAGCTACGATCCCACTCAACTTCGAATAGTAACGCCGCAGTCCCTGCTGGAAACCAGAATCTCTCCCCCGCTACTATTAGAAGAGTACATTCGAACACTCCTGTTGAAACTGCTACTACTGGCGATCCGATTACTTCCTCGAACAATTTTCGTCACCACCAAGTCACTGCATCGATCAGCTCCATTCCCGGCGTTACAAAAAATCCCAAGCCTGGAGGGTTGTTTGCTCGTGCTGCCGCAGCAATTGACAAGATATCAGAGCCTACTATTCGCAGTCGATCGTCTGCGTCTACTCTGAGTCGCTTGTCTGTGGTGCTAGACTCTCCGAGCAGCGAGAATTCAAATTCAGACAAGCCAAGAATCCGTAGTTTCTCGGGCAACTCGTCCGGTCCTTCTACCCCGTCTCTTCTGAGCCCGGTCAAGCGGTCAAGTCAGTTGTCGTTGAAAGATCCCATCTCGAAGCCATATTCTGAGACAGACGCAACTCGACCCCCTCCGATTATATTGTCTGGCACGAAGAACAAAATGCATCAAACATCTTCGAGACTGCTCCGCATGACGGACGACGACCGCCCGTTCACTAAAGTAAGTCAAACTTGTTCCGTTAAGTATTCATAGTATACCACTAGTAGACGCTGCCGATCTGGGATTTGCTTGTAGTCTGCTCATAAAATTTATCATGCAATGGTTGCTTTCTACTGTTATACTAATAATATCTTAAGGATTTCAAAGATCTTTTCTCAACACTAATCGTCAGCTTGCTTCCATTATCTGCTCATCGAGTACGGTTAACTCGCGTTGAGCATACCTTCCTGTCTGAAGATGCGATAAATAATCTGGGCTCATTGAAGTTTTCCCAATCAAACCGCATGCCCGATCCTAAGGATCCGTCACGTATCGTAACGACGACTACAACGACTACCTTCTCCATGGCAAAGGATATGGCCAGGTCAATATGTCAACGGTTTCTTGATGCTCGCTTCATTGAATCAGCCGACGGCAAAATGCAACAAGTCTATACGATGAAGGGCTCTGTATGGCAGCTGACGCCGAAGGGTGTATGCGTTTTGGATCGTTTCTGTTCAAGGAACGGTATACAGCAAAGACAGATCAGCGACCTCATTGCTTTGGGAATGAGCTATCTATGTATCCTCGAAAGGGATACCCAAACCGATAAGTTGGTGATGGATAGGGGAACGATGGAAGTCATCTTTAGGAGGATGATAGGTACGAATGGTCTGAACATTAAGTCAAGTGTTGGTGCGGCCGATTCAGACTCGCTGAGCGATTACCGAGATGGACTCACTGGTGTGAAGATGGCTAGCGAACGCAAAATTAATGGTAGGACATTCAAAGATACGTTCACTGGGAAATCATGTTCGGATTGGTTGATGGATTGTTGTACTACGGTTGACCGCCGCGAGACGTTTGAAATGGGCACTCTGTTCGTTCAATATGACCTCATGGAGCCTGTCCAGCAAGACCGAGTTTATATGGCTTCTCAACCTGGCGCTGTTTCATTCCAACCTACGAAGACTGCCGTCTACCAACTCAGCGCCAAGGGAAGAGATATTGTTACCGGTGGTGGAGGGAGAGGGCGCACATCCGAAAGCGAAGGGGTCGTGTCATCGCGTATAGGTATTGCCAGAGACTCGAATACCCAACGTCTCGATAAGATCTTGAGCGATGCTGCTTTGCGACTACTGTTTCGGGAAAACCTGCGAGAGACTCACTGCGAAGAGAACCTGTCGTTCTATTTGGACGTGGATGACTTCGTAAAGTCTTGCCGTAACGCGATCAAGCAGGCCACGAAGACCCCTAGCGCAACGACTATGGATGGGATTAAGGAAATCATGGCTCAAGCATATGGTATTTACAATGCATTTCTGGCACCAGGCTCGCCCTGCGAGTTAAATATCGATCATCAATTGCGGAATAATCTTGCTACTCGCATGACTAAGGCAGTAGGGCAAGACGTAACAATGATTGACACTCTTCACGAGGTTAATACCCTTTTTGAAGATGCCCAGAATGCTGTCTTCAAGTTGATGGCCAGTGTAAGTACTAGTCGAGCGCAACTATATTTCATCGATAGCTAACCTATCTACAGGACTCTGTCCCCAAATTCTTACGCAATGCGAAATACGAACATACATTAAAGAACTACGACTTTGATGCGATTGTTGTTGGAGGTCGCGCGCCGGAACGCAGCCGAAGTCAATCCAACCGCAAGTAAAAAAAAAAAGACGATGATTCGGGCCATTTTCGAATCGCCCCACGTTGAGCAGACGGCGTATTCCGGTTTTACGAAAACGGTGCTCATATATTCGATCCCGATCATCTACCATCTATTATCTTTTTCTTGCCTTAGCGACGTCACTACTTGGTGGCGTTTGATCGCAAAGACGTTAATAGCAATCTCTACGACATATGTTTCTCGGTTAAGACTTTCTTTGTTTACTTGGGCGGCGTTGAGGATAAACTAGCATAGACACCATCGGCGTTCTGAACCGCACCTTATCGAGTGGCTCATCTGAATTTTAACCGCGAAGCGCAAAAGGGGAAGGAAAATTCACCAGAGTATATAAGGAGGCTTTTGGTACGAGAAATGGACTGGCTACTGCAAGACGATCCCCATGGGCAATCCATCTACACAACGGAAAGCTCGAGGTGCGTCAATGAGTAAGTGAGCTGAAGTCGACGATGCTTGGAATTATTACGTCGCGGCTTTAGAGTTTATAATGATCACAGCGTTTACTAGGGATATAGAGAGTGTGGTCTTGGGTTTTCGTAACCCTGCATCACCGGAGCATTTGCAATCCGCAGCTATGAGCGGCGACTGAGCAGTGGAGGGCGCATTTTCGGCCAAACTGCTGGCTGGCAATCTGTACATACAATTGGCTAGACTAAAGCTGGCAAGCTTTCCGCTGCGGTCCTCAAAAATGGAAATCAAAATTTGAATCAGGGAGACAGACTCATATTCGGCAGTGAAACCAATTGGAACGTGAATCACTATGTGTATTAAGCCGTTGTCATCTTCAATCATCTTCCGAGCCTAGGTAAGGGTGGAATGGAGTCGACGAGACCGGAGTAGGTTGATCGAGGTGTCGGATGCATTCCAAGACGCGAGGGGGGAGGGAATACGACATCTAGTTTTGTTTTTGTCTCTAGTTCTACAACAAACCTATTGGTGGCTGTCGAGTATTGCCTGTCTAATTGCAGATTCTCCCGAGCTAAGTCAGCGCCCTTTGTTCCCCTTCTCCCTGGGTTCTTTAAAGATCGCTTCGTCCCCCCTCCTCTGCCACCGATTTCTTTTACACCATCCACACACGCTCGCTCGTTTCCTCGTCGTTCGTTAACTGTTGCGCTAGACATTTGCTCTTAGTCTTCGTTTTAAGAGATTCATTACTTCTCTCTCGTCAAAGACTATTACTACTACTACTACTACTACTAATAACTATATCTTACAACAACACACATTTACCGCAACAGAACCTACGAAACGAAAATGTTCCACAAGACTGCCGCTGCCTTGGGCCTGGTTGCCGTCTCCGGCGCCGCTGCTGGTACTGCTGGGAGCTACCCTGCTTATCCCGTCAACAACACGGCTCCCTCCTCCGTCTGGCAGTACTACAATACTACTGTCCCCACGACGGTCGTAGTGCCCCAGTTCACTACGGTCTGTCCCGAGGCGACGACCCTGAGCTACAATGGTGTTCAGTACACTGTTACTAAGGGCGAGACTGTCACTGTTACCAACTGCCCTTGCACTATCTCTACGGTAAGTCCCTAAGCTTATTGCTATATATATATATATATATATTCCGCTATATGTATATACCATTCTCTAACTCTTATCCACAAAGGCCGTCCACACTCTCACCTCGTCTCTCTGCCCACCTGGCGTCACGCCCACCGCCGTCGTCCCTGCGGTCCCAACCGGTATTCCTCACCCTGCTGAGACGCCTGCTCCCGGCACTCCGGGCGTTCCCGCCCCTCCCGGCAACCCAGGCGCACCTGCGGCTGGTACTCCCGGCGTCCCCGCTCCTCCTGGTAACCCTGGCGCACCTGGCACACCTGCGGTTGGTACTCCTGCTGTTCCTGCGGCTGGTACTCCTGCCGTTCCTTCCCCAGCCGGCACTACACCGGCCCCTGGTGCCCCCGCCGAAGGCGGTTCTCCTCCTGCGGGCGCCGCCCCAGCCGTCGGCACCAGCGGCGCTGCCCCCGTTGCTAATACTCCCAACCCGCCTGCTGGCACCACGGGGTACGCACCGTCTGCCGTCCCATCTGGTATCGCGGTCTCGGGCGCGGGCAGCAACTCTGGCTTCGCGGCGGCGCTGTTCGCTGCGTTCTTGGGAGTTGTTGCTTTGTAAGAGCTGGGCTGGTACTCTCGTCTAGACGATAGCTACTTGACAACGTGGCATACCTAAAGCAAAAAGAAAACAAAACTAGAGGAAAATGAAACGAATGGACCCAGCGTCCGCTGTGTATGTGCGATACACGTACACCAATCCCGTGGTTAGAAGGATATAATGTCTATTTTTCCTATCCCGTCTATCTATCTATCTGTCGATCGACTGATCAAAACTTTTCCTTTGTCATCAACATCCGTTCCTTCTCTCCTGTTGGTTATTTCCGGAAAAGTAGAGGGAGATTGGGGATGGGGATAGGTATGGGTTGGATTTGGACTTGGCAAAGGGGGCGTTGCTAATTTTTCATTTTTACTTTCTCGCTCTCATCTCTAGACGTGTAACGTACACCCGAACTCTCCTTAACGCGGGTAGCTGGTTCAATAAATTACACCTACATTCCTTCAGGTATCCGTGTCTTGGTTTCATTGTGTCTTGGTGTGTGTCTTGTGTCATATTCTCCCTTGAGTGTGTTCTCTTGCAGATCCCCGCCCTTTTCTCGCTTTCTGAGTCTTGTAGTTCAATAAATTTCTTTTAGCCTTGTCAATCCATGGTCAATGATGTATTGTAATTTCTCCATTCTGCTTTGCACCTTCGTCATCTTTGTTGCTCGAATAGGTTGAGCAACGATTCCAATGGTGCTCGAATCGGTTATTATCTACATCAATAGGACACTTCAAAAATAACTGGCCTTAGACCACGTTCGTTAGACACCTATTGATTGAAAATATCCTCTCATTTAGCATTTGCGAAGTGCCTGTTCGACACATCGTCCATATCCCATAATTGCAATCAATATGTGGAGGATTGGGCAACGGGCTGTATACACTCATAGAATCGTTTTCATTAAGCCTTTCCAGCTCTGTGCTACCAAGGCCTCGCTATACTCAAGCAAACAACTTTTGTCCATATGCTTTGCTGTGCAACTCTCGCCCTAACGCCGTCAATTTATAATAAACCTTTCCATAGTCATCTGGGTATGAAGCAATGCCACTCCTTGAGTCTAATAATACAAAAACTGGCAAAATACAATGCCGATGTATGCGACTCATGGGGTTCATGTCTTGAACTGGACATTACGAGTATTAAGGGCCATCCTAAGCTCCGGCTGTAGCTAAAGCATTGATTTTGGCCTCGTTTGGTCGCTTGATGTAAAAGGGACAAGATACATTTATCGATGTGATCAGCGGAGACTCGTACTCATATCGATGAGGGAGCCTGATCTCGTCTCCAGCCCTTGCTTCTCATGTTCCCCTCGATAGCCTTCCAAATATGCTCAACGATCTCATGATCCCTCCACCGGCTCGAATCTATCGTATTATGAACCGACTCCTTCCAGGGATCTATGCCGACGCTCATTACTCTGTGCCCCCAGTTACGTACGGCCTCGGGGGGCTTTTCGTTTCGCCAGCCGACGTAGATACCGGGAATGTGGCGGAATAACTCGCTAGGGTTGCTCCACTTGTAGTTCTTGAACTGCCAACTCTGGCCAGTCGTGAAGACTGCGACCACCCGATTCCAATATTCTGGCTTGAACTGCTCAGGGCCTTCGACCAAGATAAACCTCATAGGTCGATTCGGGTCGATGTCCTTCAGTAGGCGGTTGATGTGCAGCATACTCGCACCTGTGCTGGAACTAGCAGACAGCGAGTTAGGCGGAACATATTGGCCATTCTCGAGGAAAGACTTGACATTCGTCATGCGGAGGAGAGAGGAGGCGGAAGGCGAAAGTAGGATAATAGGATCGGGTCGTCTAGGTTTCTTGTGTGTGGCCAGCGCCGGATTATTAGATATGGCAGTAGGTGGAGCTTGTTGCGACTTCTTGGACATGAGGGGCGCAGCTAGCTTTCGAACGTGCGAGAAGTCCTGTAGAATATTAGTTTCAATCTAACCGGAGGGAAGATAGCGGATCATACCGTTGGCTTGATGCCTCTAAGTACACTGTTTCGATCGCCCATCTTGCGCTCGCTGTTATAGATAACCGCAAGTCTTGGATCCAAGGTACCCTTCCCAGATCTCCCTAGCTTCGCACCGATTGCGGGAGCTGCTGCACCCTTGGAAGCAAGAGCTGCAGCTGCAGTAGAAGTTGAGCCATCCTTATCTCCGGCCAGCGGCTTGATGTACTCGCATTCTTCGCTAGCTCCCTCGAGCCATGTGATAAGATCTAGCCGCTCGACAAAGGCAAGCATGCGGACTTGTCCCTTGTCCCCGAGCTCCTCATTAAGCTTCGATACAGAGGCATTGTACTCGGGAATTGCGACTTCTCGCTTCAACCAGGCGATGTAGATACTGCGCAGATCTACAGGGGTATCGTTCGAGGTGAATCGGGTTTGGATATCGATAGGGAGGGATATGTGGGAGGGGGTGGAGAAGGTGAGGTGCGTCGCTTGCGAAAGGGGAACTTCTTGCGCTGAGACGTCGCTAGACGCGGTCGGTAGAATTGCGCCTCCAGACGCGATGGACTGGCGAAGCAGGAGGAGGGGGTCTTGCTCGGTGGAAGCCATTGTCACAGGCAACAGGTATTCAGGCGTATTACCGTTGAAAAGTAGCTGCTGAGATGACGGGATGACGAAAGCTTGAACTCGAGATCCGGAAGTTGAAAAAGAGTTGAATGAAGCTCAGCCTCGGGCGGTTTGGAATTGAACGCGAACAAGGCTGGTCTTAGCGCGAATTTAAAGTGCTTACAGTGATATTTCTTTACGTACACTTCTTTAATGTATTTGTATGCACATATACGATATACGGTACCCACAGTCCTTAACTGAACCTTTTTCAATGAACTTTTGTACCTTGTGTACCTTTTCTTATGCTTTTGACAAAAATTCTGATTCACCGTGATAGCTCTAACGATAATATCTAGGTAACTTAGAAGGTTTGAGTGCAGGGTTGTGTATATTTCACTGCTATACCCTCACTTCGTCGTTAATATCTACCTAGCCCCTATTCAAGGTGTTGCCGCTCCCTTTAGGATTGGCCTCTGTGAATTCATCCCATTCCCTAGCCTTCATAGTCTCAGCATCTGCCTTCTCGATATTATCCTCATCTGGTTCAGGCCTATTAAAGCTAGCTTCTCCACCACCTTCAATGATATTCCCTTGCCTTCGTTCCTCTTCTAGGTACTCATCAATAGTCATGGTTGGAAGATTGTGGCCCGGACGAAACACGCCCCTCTGAAGCTCTGCCCGATTAGACGTGAGCGTGAATGGCCTTAAAGGCTTTCCCTCTCTACTGAGAAGTGGGCCATTACTCGAGGATAGGAGAGTGCTCAAAGGGAGGTCTAATCTGTCCGAATAACCATCGTTATCATGCGATACTCCACGCCGCCGCTCGTCATCTTCAACTGTTGCTGCTTGCGACATTGGAGGAGCTGGTGCTTGCGCTAATATTTCCGCCTCTCGATTGATTCCCTCCAAGCCCTGAAATGCCATGTGCGTATAGAAAGCGACGTTCGTGAGATACAGTTCCCGAACAGCTTCTTCATCTCCACCATCCTCTAGATATCGTGGAGAGTTTCGCATATACTCTAGCTTCTTCTTCAACTCCTTCTCTGCTTTGAAATTGGCAATCTTGGCATTGCGCCGAGCTGCTGGATCTGAGGTAGATATGGTAGAGAAGGCTGATGGATCTTCATTATATTCGGTGAACAGCTTACTGTCTGATGGGGATAATATCGAATAGCTGTCAAGAAGGTGTAGAAACCTCTCATATGCTTCCCGGGTCGCGTTCAAGGCAGCTTTTCTTTCCGAGGGTGACTGTGTTGAGACCTTCTGAAGAAGTTCGGCTATGCGATAGTTGACCAATAGGTAAGGGAGGTCAGATGTAGCAATATCCTCAAGCCCTTCATTAGGACTAAATAGTGAGACCTTGTTAATAATCTGAATGCATTCCTGGTATAATTTCAAGGCTTCAGCAAGATCCTGGCCATAGGTGGGCGAGTTTGCCTCATAAGTGCCTTCTAAAGCTATCCGCTTTCGTTCGGCAGCCTGGAACACAGACTTTAGGGTCCTTGGCTCCTCACTCATTGCGACTAGGTCATCAACGGAGTATGAAAGACGAGGTGGAAGTTGACAACAAATGCAAATTTACTACTCAGGTACCTAGCAAAAAATGTAAGCATTTGGCGGCGATAAATGGCATAGAAGTGAAGACCCTTTACCGTTTAATGGGTATATTCAATAACTCACAGCTTTATTAAATGCAGGCAAGGTGCTGGTGAACTGGTGAAAGCAAGACGTCAGTGTTATCGACTGCTTGGGCGCTAATTTTAGACTAAAAGTGGAGTCATTAGTCTACTATGTTTAAACGCATGGAGATATTCTTTTATAGAGTGTATCCTTAAAAGGTATCGTAACTGGAATAAATGCATCAGACATCAACATCAACAGACTAAACCTACCTTCTCCTTAACATAGTGGAAATGAACAAGAATCAATGAAAGAGCAAACCGTCAGATACTATGCTATTTGTATTATGAGGTACATATAAGCAGGTAAAAGCGAGAAAATGCCCATTGCCTAGGTACATGTATGAGTATCGTGACTAAGGTAAGATTGTCTACCAGTACAATTACGGTAGGTACCTGCCGAATCTCGAATTGTAGGCTTGGAAGGTACGATATCGTGTTTGATATGTGCGCAACTGTTATTCCAATCACACAGCCCGTTCAATGTTGTATGTTACGGAAAGTACAAACAGCGTTGTTGCGCCACCTGCACTCTGCATAGGCAAGTTGATAAGTACCTTCTTTATTTCATTCGCTAGAGCTGCTTCCTTGGCACTACCTAAGAGGTAAATGGGTAGATAATAGAGGAAATCACGATTTACGTCGAAGGCGATTACTTGTGGTTCGTCGCAATTTTTTCCGTAGTCCTTCTCCTTTACCACACAAGTACAACTCCTTAACATCCCTAGTTACTACACACAAAGATTATTGTGTAGATTATTCTACAAAACCCGAACCCCTAAGCCCTCTTTAACTCAATCCTCACAGCAGCATGTCTTCGTCGGACTCTGGGGCTGATTCTGGCTCAGAAGATGATAACCCTTCCCCGTCAGATATTCAACCCAAAGCGACGGCTAAGGTGTTTGACAGCTTGCAGTTTTCCCAGTTTATGAGAGATCACCAGGAAAAGATCTACAGCTCTATACCAAGCTCAGTTATCAGGGATGAAGATAAATCCACCAATTTGCTTGTAAGAGAGGCAGAGAGCGAAAGGATTATCTCAAGTCCAAGAGAATATCAAACCGAATTATTTGAGAGGGCCAAGCAGAAAAACATAATCGCTGTTCTAGATACTGGTACGCCTTTTTTTTCTCTCGCTATAGATATATCCTGTAGTGTTGGAATACTTGCTAAAAAGTGACCTAGGAACTGGAAAAACGCTTATTGCCGCTCTCCTCCTTCGTCATACCGTCGAGCAGGAACTAGAAGACAGAAGCGCTGGCAAGCCGCCAAGGATATCCTTCTTTTTAGTATCTTAATCCCACAATGACTTTCTTCCACACTGTACTGATACGTACGTAGGTCGATAAAGTTGCCCTAGTTCTTCAGCAATATGAAGTTCTCAAGGCAAACCTGGACCATTCTGTCCAGCGATTTCATGGTGACCACGGGGGCTCCATCCTAAACTACGATTTCTGGAAGCAGAAGATCGAGGAAAGTATGGTTATAGTTTGCACCGCCGAGATACTTCTCTCGTGCCTTCATCACTCCTTCATTAAGATGGAGGGTATTAACCTTTTAATATTTGATGAGGCCCACCATACCAAGAAGAACCATCCGTACGCCAGGATCATCAAAGACTTTTATGCACCATTAGAGCGAGAACAGCAGCGGCAGCCCCGAATCCTAGGCATGACCGCATCACCCGTTGATGCAAAAACAGATCCAACTTCTGCGGCCGCGAAATTAGAGGGGCTTCTGCATAGCGAGATAGCGACTGTAGCGGATATCTCAGTCTTCACGAAATCTTCAATCAACCGACCTATCGAGGATTTCATCGAGTTCAGCGTGACCCCAGAGCCCTTTGAGACGCTACTTTGGCAGAAGTTATATAAGTTGGTCGGGCATAATGATGCTCTAAGAAAGCTCTTCACCTATTCCAGAGCTTGTACTGCAGAGATGGGCCGCTGGTGCGCAGACCGGGTTTGGAAAATATGCTTGACCGAACAGGAAGCTCATAAGCTGGAAGCGAAGACAGAGAGGAATTTCATGTCTAGCAAAACGCATCTCCCTATAGCCGCTCTCGACGCCGAGAGATTGGCTGTTCGAGACGCGTATAAGATAGTAGCTGACCATTCATTTCCCCAACCTCAGCGGAACCCCTTTTATCTATCCGACAAAGTCGAAGCCCTTATTGGAGCCCTCCAGAAGCATTTAGATCCACTTAAGGATAAGTGCATCGTGTTCGTAGAACAACGCCTTACTGCATTATTGTTGGCAGATCTTGTGAAGCAGCCGAGCTTAAACATGCCTCAGATCAAGGCCGGCGTACTGGTAAGTCTATTCGTTATTCACTACGACCGAATTAACTAACAATGCTGAAGTTGGGAGCGGGTAGCGACACTGGCGACTTGGGAATGACTTTGAAGGAGCAGTTTATGACCATGCACCAATTCAGGAACGGTGATCTAAATTGTATCTTTGCCACCAGCGTTGGCGAAGAAGGTATTGACATGCCTGACTGCAATATTATCATTCGATTTGATCTTTGCAAGACGATGATCCAGTACATCCAGTCGAGGGGCAGAGCTCGGCGCAAGGACTCCAAATTCTTCCATATGGTCGAATACACCAATTCTACTCAGCTACAGTCTATCTTTGAGCACGAAGACAGCGAAGCAAGGCTCCGCAGATTTTACAATACACTGTCTGAAGACCGGCTCATTACTGGAAACGATTATAAAATTGACTATTTCCTATCTCAAGAGAGGAGCCACCGTGTCTACGTTGTGCCTTCAACCCAAGCCAAGTTGACATATAAAAGCAGTCTAGTAATCCTAGCCAACTTCGTCTCAACGCTACCACGTCCTTTGGATACCATTTATACTCCGGATTATATAATAAGAGGCATCGGCCGAGAATTCGAATGCGAAGTTCTCTTACCAGACACTTCTCCAATCAAAGGTGCGCTTGGGCGACGCGCAGATTCCAAGCAAGTTGCCAAGTGCTCCGCCGCTTTCGAGATGTGTCTGCAATTAAAGAAAAAGAAGTACCTTGACGATTACTTACAATCTACTTTTACTAAAAAGCTCCCGACTATGCGTAATGCTCACTTGGCTATTAGCTCGAAGAAGCGATCTGAGTATCCTATGCGCATAAAGCCTGAAATCTGGGATAAACGAGGCCATCCGGAGAGCTTATACGTGACGGTCCTGAAACTGACCTCTCCAGAAGCAATGGCGAGATTTTCGAAACCGCTAGCTATTCTCACGAGGCACCCACTTCCACGAACAGCCAAATTTCCCCTATTTTTCGATCATCAGCGTACCTCAGATGTAGAATGTATACCTCTTCCACGCGCCTTCAAGACAACGCCAGAGGAGATCGATCAAGTCAATACGTTCACACTTAAAGTGTTCGATGATGTGTTCAGTAAAGAGTACCGTTCGGAACCGGAAAAAATGCCTTACTTCTTTGCGCCCCTTATACACCCTCACGGCTTCAATTTTGCTAGTGCATCTGACGACGTTCGTGTCTTAATTGACTGGGGGTGTCTTTCTATGATCCAAAGCGCAGCAAGATCCCTTGAATGGGAAAATAAACCAGATGAGTTTTTCAAGGACAAGTTCGTCATTGACCCTCACGATGGGTCACGTAAATTCTATACGGTTCGCCGCCGTTCCGATCTCAAGCCAACTGATCCGGAGCCGCCGGGGATTTCCAAGAACCAGGCCGGTAAAAAATCCACCCGGGAAGCACCGAACGACATTTGGAATTTTAGTATTAGCTTGTGGTCAAAGTCGCGTTCTAAATTGACAGTTCGGCATGAACTACCTGTCGTGGAGGCCGAGTATATTCCACTACGACGGAATCTTCTTGATGAACTCGACAAATCCTATGATGTGGAACGAAAGTGTTTTCTTGTCTTTGAAACCTTGAAATTCTCACCTGTAAGTTCCTCTGGCCGCCTACATTCATATTCTTAAAGTCTAACCAATTTAGTTACCGGTCGATATGGTTGCCATGGCCTACAATCTACCTGCAATAATATATCGACTCGAAACTAGTCTTATAGTGCTAGAAGCTTGCAAGTCTCTATCCCTAGACATACGTCCCGATCTCGCCCTAGAGGCAATGACTAAAGACAGTGATAACACCGAAGAACATTCCGAAGAACAAATAAATCTTCAGCGAGGCATGGGGACGAACTACGAGCGTCTTGAATTTCTTGGCGATGCATTCTTGAAGATGAGCACAACAATTGCCCTGTTCTCTCAGATCCCCGATAGCGACGAATTCCAGTACCACGTCGATCGCATGCTACTAATTTGTAATAAGAACCTCTTCAACAACGCGCTAGACCTAGAGCTGCAAGAGTCAATTCGATCGAGGGGCTTCAGCCGACGGACATGGTATCCGGATGGCCTCGATCTATTGAGAGGCAAGCAGAATACTAGCATCAAGGGAAAGAAGGGTGTCAGGGAAGTTCATACACTCGGAGACAAATCAATAGCTGATGTTTGTGAGGCGCTCATCGGGGCAGCTTATCTGACGAGCTATGAACAGCACAGCTTTGACATGGCCATTCAGGCCGTTACTAAGTTCGTCAATCACCAAAACCATAAGATGACGACATATGGAGACTATTATGCAGCATATAATATCCCGGAGTGGCAAAGCGCCGACGCCACGGCAGTTCAACGTGAAGTAGCCAGGAAGATCGAAAAGAAGCTTGGCTATAGATTCACGTATCCCCGTTTGCTACGCAGCGCATTCATGCATCCATCGTATGGTACCATTTACGAGCGTATCCCACATTATCAGCGACTAGAGTTTCTCGGGGATGCACTACTCGACATGGTCTGTGTCGACTTTCTGTTCCATCGGTATCCAAATGCGGATCCCCAATGGCTGACGGAGCACAAGATGGCGATGGTATCAAATCAATTTCTGGGCTGCCTTTGTGTCTCCCTTGGTTTTCAGACGCATATGCTGTCTATGTATAGCGGGTTACAAAGAGACATTACGGAATACGTAGCCGCTATAACAGAAGCTCAGCGAGCAGCAGAAGAAGAAGCTGAATCAGCCAATCTTGGACGTGCTTCATATGCAAAGAATTTTTGGGTTGGAGTTCAGAGACCGCCTAAGGCACTCCCTGATATCGTGGAGGCGTACATCGGTGCTCTCTTCGTCGATAGCAAGTATGACTATAGCCAAGTGCAACAATTCTTCGACACGCACATGCGACCTTATTTCGAGGATATGCACATCTACGATACGTTCGCTAACCGACATCCGGTCACCTTTCTAGCCAATATGCTGCAGTTGCACTTCCACTGCGCCAACTGGCGCCTCATGATCCAAGAAATCGCCGTTGAGGGTGGTCCGTTGGGTCAGGCGCAGGTACTCTGCGGCGTCATGATCCACGGTCAAGTCCGAGAGCACGCCGTCGCAGCTAGCGGCCGGTATGCCAAGATTGCGGCGGCTAAGAAGATTATGAGTACACTGCGGGAGATGGGCGTTGAGCAGTATAAGGCGACGTATGGATGCCGCTGCTCGCCTGAGGAGGCCGAGGCTTCGGATCCCCTCGCGGAAGTTACGGCTATTTGAGAAGAAGTTTAGGGGGCGTAATCTTCGGGGGTGTTTTTCGAGGCTGGTTACTAATTCGCATGCTTACTATCTCAGGATACATGTATATTAAGCTTGAGTCGCAGCTTTTCTCTAAATTCGATGATTTCAGATGAGTTAATACGGCTTTCATCACCACATTATGAGTGTCGAGTAAGCACCTTTGCGGTAAATCTTGTAGAATATCTGACGACGACGACCATGCATTCCTTTTAATATCTAAAAACCGGCAAATACCTACTCCTAAACTCGTCTCTCAACAAGATTGTCTAGCCCCATGAAAGTTTCATCCTTGGAACATAGGTAGCTGTGCTCTACTGTCTCGATGTATGTATATTCAAGTCAAGCATTCAATCTCCAGCCAGAATAAACGCAATATGATAGCTCATTACGTTCTACAGGGGTAAGAAGGTATCAATTATTTCGTTTATTATCATCATTGTAGGTACCTACCTACCTATCTAGTCTCCCACCAGCATCTTAGTTTACCCATCCACACCACGCGAACTTCCACGTAAGCTTGCACAAGTAAACCAAGAAGGAATCATGTATTGTCTTTAGCCAAACAGGGGTTCCCCGTGACAGGTACCTGACCTAACCTAACCTAACCTAACCCAGGTATTGCAATCAGATCCTACCTCTTTAGCTATGACAACCATGTAAACACAACTCCCTATTAGGGCCGACTATTAGTAGGGCCTATCCTACCTACGGCACTGGGGGTATAAAATAGGCGCGAGCCTCGCCGGGCATCAGTGCCAACTCATCGCCATACGCCAAATCGTTCTAAATCATGATAAATACCATTACAATCATATGCATAATGAGGGAAAGTATGCTGCTGCCTCGAGGCCTCCGTGGTGATGATGGATGAAAAGGAGGTATTGCAAATATGTTTTTGCCGCATGGTTTCTAGTTAAACCCTTAGTTTTAGGTGCTCGCAGTTTCATAACTTGGTATCCGCGTAACTAGGCTGATCGTCAAACTCGATCCTAGGAATGCAGAAATCGGGTGCTTTCCCTTTTCCCTTGGCCTTCCGCAATGAGGCACTACTTGCACGCTGTTTTGACTTGGCCTCCCTTCGAAGCCGCGCAACTACGGCCATGTCGGGTAAATCTAAGTCATCATCCTCGAATAGTCGGGCAGTAGTTTCGTACTGTCGCATATTACCACAGGAATGGTATCGGTAATCACTTGAGCGCTTGAAAGGAATATCGAAATTCAAGTCTTCCTCAGAGTCGTTTTCAGGCTCTAAATCATCATTGCCTTCAGAATCAGTATAATCAAACTTTGGTACCTGCAAGCGAGATGACCTAGATCGGGACTTATGCTTTAGGGACGGAGCCGAGTATTGGGAACCGAGAGTAGAAGAAAGTGCATCCTCGAACTTTGTAGAGCTGAAGGTGGCTAGATGAAGTGGATCCTTGGGTGTACAGGATATTCGTCGTGGCTGGGATCGTTTCGGCTTATTAGGCTTCGCCGTTATGTCAAACGAGGCCGAAAGTCCTGGTAGTTGAGAGCCTTCCATCCCGTAGCCTTGAAAGAGAAGATCCTTCTCAAATTCACCTGCAGAACGCTTAGGAGCATCAAAGGAATCGACCGATGAGGCATCCTCATCGATAACGAAATCCATCGAAGGCTCCCGTCGACTAGAATTGAGAAGAGATCCTGCCAACAATTCAGGGTCGACATCATGATACGAGGGCTCCGGCGCATCAAGTTCCATATAATTCCTCATTGCTCCGCGATTTTCACTAGGTGAAAAAGACGCTTCATCCAACTCAGTAGCCTTAGGTAGCGGTACGCGAGGGGCAAGATCCACTGAAGTATTAGTGGTATGACCAGATTGAGGGCTGAACGGATTCGAGCTCAATGTTGAGCCTCCCGTCTCGGAAGTTAGTGACCAACGGCGAATACTGCTGCCTCGTCCCGGAACTACGTCTTCAGTCTCCGACCGTTTGAGACTCTTCACAGACCCGGAGACGGTACTTCCATTTCCATAACGACGGTTTAATTCGTCTTGGCCACTAGAGCGACTGAAGATTGTTTTCGGGTCTGTGGACAACTTGTTAGCAAATAGGTTACATAGTTCAAAAAGTCAAAACTGGGCCACTAACTATTCGGCTCCGGGGGTTGCAACGATGTCAATTCGTGCAATGAGCCGTCGAAGTCGGGTATAGGTCCGCGGCGGCGCTTCGGAGAACCACGGCTCTTTTTTCTGTATAGATCCTCTTCAGCACTTGGCAAGTTACTCTCGGTAACTAATTCGCCACGATAGGGCAAATGGAGAGTTCTCAGGCTCCCCGTCTTCAATGGTGGCTTAATGCTGGTTGAAGATATGTGTGACATGGTTCTGCGCTGAGGAGAGTTATTGAGAGACCGAGATTGATCTACTTGAGTAAGTCGGATCCGGTTAAAATCGCTGCGCGCATGGTAGGAAAGATCGCTGTCAGAATCCTGCCTGTGAATAGATATTTCCTGAGATAGGTTTGGTTGCGTCGCGTTGCCCCTCAAGGCTAAATCCACAGATGGATCATATTCAAAATCTTCCCAAATCGCCGCGCGAGCCAACTCTCGTAGGGACTCGGGAAAATAGTCAGAGTCTTGCCCCTTGACTCTTCTTCCCGTAGAAGCACTCACCGGTCGCTCTGATGAAGAGGCGACATACGAATGCAAGGACATTCGACGAAGAGCCTTTTCGGTTAGTGTTGTTTCGTTCGCTGGGTCATCTTGATATGCGTGCAAAGCCAACATCGCAGGTGATGCGGCCCGAAAGATAGAATTGCTTGACTTGGTCTGCAACCCATATCCCATAGATTGCCTTTTCCTCGACGAACGCGGTCGGTCAAGCTCCTCGTCGTCACTCCGAATGCTTGGGGCTAGATTCTTTCCATAGAACTCCTTGAACTCCTTGGCTTGTGGAGAGTTGAGGCTTGAGCCATTCTCGCTAATGTTGCGATCCGCAACGTCTTCATCGTAATCTTTAGTGCCGGTAGCCTTTACGCGACCGTAAAAATCAGATGGCTTGATGAACGATTGGGCTTCTAGCAAGTCGACGAATCCACGTGTTGATTCCGAATCGCCGCTAAAAATTGAAGAATTACGGCCGCGGGTGAAAGTTGGGGATGGCACGCTGTGAATGGATTCATTTCTCTCGGTTGGTATCTTCGATGGAAGTTTGTAGGGTCCGTGTCGCTTCTTAGGTGGCTCTCGTAACGACTTTACTGGAGTTCCTACTTGGGATTTTGGCCGGGATAATCCTTCGGGTGACTGGGTAGGGGCCGTATTGGGACGTTCGAGTAGACGAGGAACTATAGGAGGCGGTGCGGAATTATCATTGAAATGTCCATCTCTCAGATATGGATGCGATTTCTGGAATTTCTCCAAAATGCTAGGTCCGTTACCAGCAACCGGATAGGTGCCTTAAGTGAGATAGGTCAGCTCGGAGATTTACCAGATTCCTGGGATGAAGACTCGGCTCATACCGCGGATTGGAGGATTGGCGGCCACAGTCTCATCGTAAGCTTGTGCCTTAAGATCATTGTTCAAGTTACCGGTAGATTTTCTAGATAGGAAACTGAACCAACCCATCTTGAAGGTCGAGTCGAGTATTCGTATTCGTATGAAAGGTAACTAAGCCCATAAATATTCTCTTATCTCCGTAATTATCTTTCAAGGACGCGGGCCTCCATTAGGATCAAGCAGAAGAGAGCCGCTATTTCCGCCATATAACACGAGCTAAAGTAGTAAAAGAAACACGGGGAACAAAGGGAAAAAAGTAACAAATGCTCGGAGGGAAGAGAATGTATGTGGGAGAGAATTGTAAGAGAATTGTACCGTAGAATTAACGCGGTAGATGAGACGCATTAAACGGGGTGGTGCAAGGATACCCAGATAAGTTTAAAGGCTGAATGGAGACGACACTTCAGTTTATTGTATGTAGTGTATTTCGCAAATGAGTGTGTATGTGCTGCTGTAGTAGTAAACTTCGTTTATTAAGCCAAGGTAGTAGCTACCTAGTTATCTACACTAAAATGTTTAGGGGAGGAAACATTGAGAATCTGCAGCTAAATAATTTACACGTCGTACCTTGCGTTTGTATTGCTTCCTTCTTTTTTTTTTCACGATGGTCCGTGGTGGCCCACTTTACTCCTTGAAGAAACCCCCACACGCCCCCCTTTCGATCATTCATTCGAGACCTCATTGGTTCCTGAGACACGGTTGGTTGCGAAACCACGGATTACATATAGACAATCCCGGTGCCATAAACCGGTGCAACTAGCCGTTTATCACACGGGTATGCTTTATGTGTTGTTTGCAAATACAGAGCATACTACATACTTATTATTATGTAGTTATGCTCTACACATAAGTACTTGTTAGTTCATTGCCTTATAGCCGAAAGGAAGTAGTATGCATATTAACCATACTATATACGCGTAGCCAACCTAATTTAGGAAGTACTTCCTTGTATTACAGGACCCGATTCGATTAGGTACCGTTCCAACAACGATCTAGCCAAAGTATCAGTGGGGTGCTTACGTACGGAACACCTCCTTGATCTATTATGCTTTAAAAAGTCTACCTTTACCTACTATATAAAAAGTATTTTTTCATATAAAATGGGAGTTAAGTAATGGTCATATATGGATGAACTGATACTACAACAGAACATATGATTTAAGTATATCCTATTTTGCTATTATTCCGGGACAAGGGTATTCCTATGTACGGTAGATGCATATTAAAGAGGTATGACATCAAATTTCAAGATCCAAAATGCTGGGATATAAAATCGGAGAAGGGAGAATCTGTAGCGCGTCATCATCCTTGCAAGCCCTCACGCTTCTGGGTATTGTGGTGGTCCTACCTCTACATATCGGGCTAGCTACCCGAAATCCTCTTCGCTTTCTTATTTGCCAACACTATCCGACTTTAGCGTTTGCTAGTGTGATTATCAAAATGATTATCAAAAATGGGCGAAGGACTTGTAGGTTTCGTATATGCCGACAATTAAATCATATCATCATGGTGTACATCGCGTTGCCGCAAGAACCGCCCAGCTTCATGGATCACAAGCCAAGTGGATGATGATAATGGATAGAAACCTAATCATAGCACAACACCAAGAGACATCTTACCACTACATTGTTCTAGTCTGTACCTAGATAGGTTCGGTGAGCCCGAGGTGTACTACAGTCTCTAGTGTAGAACAATGGATTATGTTCTTTACTTACTAGTCACCGTTAGCGAGAATAGCTGAAGACTAAATCCACTCAATAGGTAGTAACTACTAAAGTGCTACCTAGTAAATCTAAGCGAATATTCATGGGCCAATGGGGGGCCTAGGCAAGCATCGATGACCCCCCCCCCAAATCGAAATGTCTAAGATGTCTTAAGATGCCATGTCCTTGAATCACTTTACTCAAACAGGCTGTTCCGAATGACTGCTGTCGACTTGGAATGTCTCAATTTCAAACCGATGGCTTCGAGTAATTGCCGAAACGCCACTTAGTTGAAGGATGAGACACAACAGATTAGCATCGGATCAACGAGTGAGATCGCAGAGTTGCCCGTTTGCTATAACCCCGAGCTAGGGATATCTACTATAGGCTATAGCTTCCACGTGGACTGCAACGTTCGGCACGTTGTAGGCTTCTAGCGCGTAGTCACATTAGACTCCTCTTGGCCTCGGGGAACCACGTATACGATCCGAGTCTTTAGCAAGAATTGTTTATTTTTTATGGATCCGACTTTATACATAGTCGCATCAATCATTGGGTAAACACTACCGACTAATTCCCAGGAAGTCCTCGACCTAGATGTGGTTTAACATACGATACGAGCACAACAAAAGCCTGTACCGCAACAGAGTTTCCTAGTACAAGGGAAATCTCTTGTATATCAAACGATCTAGGTACCTAGACATTGCATACCAAATTTATATTAGTTGGAGGTAGTCATTGGTCGTTTGCGTCTTAGTGACACGGTAGCAGATGGATCAAGGTTCCTGCTCTGTCTTTCTCTCCTCTGGTGGTGGGTGTAAGAATACATGTAGTTCTCATAAACACATGGCATGTTTCCTTGGAGTAGCATAATACGCACAAGTAAGCCAGGTGTTTAAGATATTTGGTTCATAAATGCTATTTATGATAATCAACCGACGAGCGCTCAGGCTTCCGGCATCCTTCGGGGTTTCGAGGACTTACTCAGATCAATCCATCCACACATTCGTGGGCTCAACTTTGGTTATGGCCCCAATGTTGCAATGGGCACGATGTCGTCACAGTTCAACTACATGCATGAATAGGGAGACCAGGTAGCTAGAAAAGCGTGATGTATGCTGAGCCAAGGTAGGATAATGCGGCATGCGGTATAGGTATGCTATAAATATTCTAAATTATTTAAATCTACTAAGTTAGTTATCTACAGAAACATCTTATATTGCCAATGCGACCATCTAGAATCTAAATACTATGTAGTACGAAACATCATTTTCGGAGAAAACATAAACCAATAGGCCAAGAGAACTATCAGAGGTACCATTGAGTCACATGGCTCGAGAGTATCATATACTTCACTCGCCCTTTTTTCTATAATGTATTGAACCGAGACGGTCATTTCTAAGGAATAAGTATCTAGGCTGGCCTTGCCTTGGATTTTCGGGGTAGCGATGTTATGCTTATACTATTTTCTCTTCAACAGGCCATTTCCTAAATAATGTATGGCAAGTCCTAAGAACCGATTGCAACTACCCATGAAGGTTAAGATTAAAAGAACTCGTAGCCCATAGAACTTACCTTATATATATACTCAGAAGTAAAGGGAATTGCATAATTCCCCAAGGTTAAGCACCCGAAGTTGGTAGCGTTGTCTTGGACGTCGGAATGCCATCTTCACCTACTATCCCAAACTCTTCATAGCCTTCAGATCCCCCCCTAGACAAATATAACCTATACAGAACACTTAAATGTAACGCCAATAGTGCGAATGACTCAATTGCCCATCCCTGGGCCAAACTCAATCTCAGAATCAGAGTGCGCGCTACATGAGCTCCAAATACATCGACGCCATCCAGTCTGGCCCAGAAGGAAACACAATGACCGAAGGAAAACATAAACGCAAGGCAGACAAGGCCGAGGCCGCTGAGAACTGCAGCTGGCGAGGTGACAGTCCTGAGCCAGAGCTAGATGATCTTGCACACAAAGAGGAGCCCCATCGACCTCGCCCGCCCGATGAGATCTGTAGTTGGCAGGGTAATCCTCCTGAACCCGGGTTCGATTACCGAGCCCGCAGTCCCAAGTTATCACCTAGGTCTCAGATAAATACACCTGTTGAACCACTGCTAACGGAGATTGAGCCAACGCCACTGGATGCCTCCCCCGAGCAGGAAAATCACAATAAAGCTTCGCAGGCGCACTCTGAAGGTTAGTTACCATCTCATATCATCATTTCTATACCTGCGGGAAAGCTCTAGGGACTCCTAAGACTAGGTGGTTACATCGAAGTCTTATAACACCATAAACCAGCTAACAGCTTGATTTATCAGATGAGCAGCCTGGAGAACAAGAGCAAGGCGCCACGGAAGAAACCTTGCAAGGGAGGATTACGCACGGAGTGCAGCACGTATTGACTGTCTTCCACAATATCGTCAATCCTTCCAGTTCCCAGGCACACGAAGAAGCGCCAGAAGATAGCGCAGAGCCTCCTGGTGAAGAGAATAATGCTCCCTTGAGGCCTTCTCGAATTCCGCCGATCCTCACCATAGTTGAGCCGCAGCATCCTAAAGGTAAAACCCCTAAAGAAGAAAAGGAAAAGGCGAAGAGAGAGAAGAGGGAAGCCAGGAAGGTCGAAAAGGAAAGAAAGGCTATAGAGAAGGAGGAAAAGAAAAGACTCAAGGTAGAAAAGAGAAAAGAGTACAAAGAACGGCGCCACCAGGAGAAGGAAAAGAAGAAAAACAAGGGGAAGGAGAAAGAGACTGCTTCACCTCCCGATCTACCTCCTGGAGCTGATGGCCTCGCTGCCACCGAGTCGCACTGCCATCCCGGATGTCAAATATGTGAACATCCTGAAGATCAGAGAACGCATGACTTCATGAAGAGCTTGCAAGAAAGTTGGGAGGGATTACCATCTCTCAACGACCTTACCGAAGCTGCCAAGAAACTGCTCGGATTGAAAGCCACAGATGACACTCCTGATGCGCCGCAGAGTTGCCAGAACCTTTCCTTGAACGAGCAGGAGTTGATCGAGCATATTGCGGCGCACATCAACAGACATATACACCAACATATAGACCACAACCCATCCGGAGAAGGCAACGCATCGATCGGAAAATCCTCGTCCAACAAACCTTCCTATCAGGACCCCTGTCAGGGACCAGATACACCTAGCCAGCAACAACAAGCTAGCTGCGAGGATGGGCGCCCTACCAGCCACGGCTTGGACGGTAATAGGGACTGGCCTATGACTATTATGCAAGGTCACATCTTTCGCAGCATCGAGCCAATGTCTGCCCCTGACGTCGCTACGACGCAACCTCCCCCTCGGGATTGTTCGCCCTTTCGCACCCCAACGAGTCGTTGCGTCTCTCCGTGGTGCGAAAAACTCGGTCTCAAGTTGGATGACCCGCCCCTTGTCCAGAAGCCAACGGTGCCGTGGTCGAGAAGAGGGTAAGACAACACATATAACATCCGCTCTTTAAAGACAACGTATCAATAGCGTATGCTAACCCAAATCCGTGTCCAGATTCAACTCCAGCCCGAGCCGCATGAGGACCGTCGCCACCTCTTCCTGCCTCAACGCGCCACTATGCTCACACCCGGTCTATCATGAACACGGCTTATACGCTTGCGTCCCCGTCTCGCTGATACCGGCTCTCAGCCTTGAATCTTCCTGCTGTGGCCATAGTAACTGTCACTACGCTTCGCCAATGATGACACCTATGCCAGTTTCGCACACCCCATGCCCACTGTTCAATTTCGAACCGTTCGGCACCGCCGAAACGATTCCTCCCAGCACACCTCGCAGAAGTCTGTCGGCTAACGAGACACAGATCGTGTTTTGATACTTCTAAAGGTTGAAACGTGGGTTTGGTAGGAGCTTAGATTAGGTAGGTTATGACGGAGCGCGTTAGCTAGAAGATTGTTCATGGGGGGTTGATATGCAGGAAATGGAGTGTGGAATAAGGAGGTTTTGACAGACTGAACAATTAGTCTGAAGATTGCTAAAAAAAGAATTGTTCCTAGAATGTAACGAAGATTACTGAAGTCGATTATAAATGGTATCATTAGAGTATTCATATTGCTCGTGTTGCTTCTATCGAAACCAGGACTAGAGCGGTATATTGACCGTTCTAAAATAAACAGCCCTATAGGCCTTCCCCCTTATAACTCTAAGTGTATTATTGTTTATCTGTACGCCTATGAAAAGCAGCCTGGCTTTCACGAAAAACATGACGATGGATACAGCATCGTACACTACGGCTTAACTTATACAGACATCCCCAATCGCCCACCCCTAGAGAAAGCATACCCAGGCAGGTAGGTAGTCGCAGACCAGCCACCCCCATCATCATCATCATCACCATCACCACCCTAATCCAACGACCCAGCCAACGCAACGCAGCTAAAGCGCATATCGCCACCCCCTCGCTCGAGGAACTTCAGCGGCCCCCACAGCAGCGCCTTGTCGGACAGCACGTCCTCGCCGTCGGCCAGCTGGCCGCGGGCAATAGGGCCCTTGCGGCGGCCGTCGAGCTCCCACAGGGTGCCGTCCTCCGCCTTCACGAAACACACGTAGTGCAGGTCCACGTCGTCTTGGGCGTCGGGCGCGGCTGTCGCGCCCCGGCTCGCGGCTTCTTGGTGCGCGGCGGCGAGCTCGGGGGTGCGTTCTAGAAGGGCGGAGCGCTGGGCGGGGGGGAGGGGTGTGGAGGCGGTTAGGAGGCGGTGGAGGGGGGTGTTGGGTTCTGTTTTTGGGGGGGGGGGGGTTAGTACGTGGAACGTAGGTAGGGAAGAAGAAGAAGAAGAAGTGGAGGGAGGGAGGGGGGAAGGGACTCACCAATGAAGCCCCGCGCGGGCCCGTTCGACACGGCATGCAGCAGGCCCATCAGCCCGCACGCGTTGCGGATCGTCTGCTTGTACCAGAGCACGGGCTCTTCGTCGCCGCTGCCGGTGTACTCTGGAACGCCTGCGTCTTCGGCCATCCGGTGCGATTCGTATGTTGCCGAGACGGGGAACACGAGGAGCAGAGCGAGGGCGGGTCGCGGCACAAAGGCGAGTAGTTCGGGCTCGGTAATGGAGTATACGTCGTGGATCTGGAGGGCTTGGCTTAGGCCTAGTTTGTGCAGAAGGGAGGTCATGAGCTCGGGGTTCGCTTCGAGGGGGACGAAGGCTAGGGAGCCGGGGGATGGGTCGGGGTTGGTTGTTGTTGACATGGTGCCTGGCTTGCTTGCTTGTGGTAGTGTTGGGTTGGTTGGTTGGCTGGTTGGTTAGATAGTGGATAGGGAATGTATGAACGGATCGAACCGAGTAGTAGCTCAGATCTGTTATAAGAATTATGGGTTCTTGAAGGAAGTCTTGTCTCTTGCAAGAGTCTATCTAATCTAATCCGAGGAAAGGTTTGGTATTTAGTATCAGTCTGAATAATCGTTGTACATATTGCCCCGCCACGACAGGGGTTTAGAGGCAGCTACTAAGTAATATGACGCCACTCATCTGGCATTTTACAGTTGAAGCTTTATCGATTAGAGTGGGGTATACGGATAAGGATCTTTACATTATATTAGTTATACTGTATTAGTGCTTGGAAAGGACTGGAGTTATAGACTCACATTCGGTACGACAAAGAAACATAAATAGTAGATAGCTTCACGAAATATTAAGAGTTGTCATTCTTGTGTTAGACCTTTTATTTCTCATCACTAAATATCTCATTTATATCATCACATCTCTTATCTCATAGTCATACAAGCATAGGCGTATGCACAGATATCTCTTGGCCCAGTTGCTCCTTGCGCCAAACTCCAACAAGCCATTTCCCAGTATTTATTCTCCCCAAATGTCGTAATCCATAGCATCGTTGTCTATTGCCTTTTCAGTTTCCCAAAAATAAAAGTTCAGATTATCACCAGTCCGAGCTCTTCTTCCGGCTCTTGCGACCCTTCTTTAAGCCATTGATGCTGTCTTGTACTATGCTGCCTGTGTCGCTTGCAGCTTTCTGGCCGCGCTCCTTAACTTGGTGCTTTTCTGCTTCATCATGAATATCCTTTACTACATCTTTGCCCACGCTCGTGCCGCTAGCCCAGTCCAGCAGTCCCCAAGCGCCGAAGTTACCACGCCCGCCGCTTGCGTAGTGCGTTGCAGTACGTCGTGTAATGCCGCCCATGATAATACCCGGTACAATGTTGTAGCCAGACATGGACAGCGTCTCCTCTAACGTCGTCAAGATAGTAAATAAGAAGTACGTGAGTAGATGCGGTTGGATGACCATGGCTGATAGGTATACCGGCAATGTGCGATTAAAAAGGAGCGGCAGCGGATGATCCGTATACAGCATCAGCGCATACGGAGCGGCGTGCTTGCGCGAGTGCGCGTATGCGCTATGTAGTCTTGCCACTCTCCCCCGAGAGTGCAACACAAATCGGTGGAGGTAATACGTCAGAATTTCGCGCGCGGTATATAGCATCAAGATATGCTTCACGATCTGCCAGGGGAGTGGCAGTGCCGTACTGGTCTTAAAGAGCGGACGGCGCAGTAGCGTTCCAGCGCCTATGGATATACCGGCTTGCATAGCGGTGCTGAGCGCAAGGTTGAAGATAGCGAGCGGGATCTGCCGAAGTAAGGAGGCAGCACTTCGCCGAGGTAATGATGTAGAACCATAAAACTTAATAGATTCCGCTAAGCTGGGAACCAGTGTGTCGAATAGCAGAAAGAAGAGCGACGGCACCAGCCAGAATACTATTCGCACTGCTAGGGTGCCGACCAACTCGATCCTCAGAGGCGAATGGGATAGGACAAGTGTCGTCCAAGTCATATAGAAGAATAGGAGATTTAGCGAACCCGACCACGACGACAGCATCGGCCCACCGAAATATGAGACTATCGGAAGGGATAGTAGGAGATCCATTTTGTTGGTATTACCGTTTATTCTTCTTGAGTATACAAACCCGCTAGATGAAGAGATATGGGATGTATTTGGTAAGTAGGTATGTATATCTGTATGTCTGCCTATTTAACGACACAAGTATACTTAGGGACGTAAGACGATGATGCCTTAGGATTTAGTTTCTTAGGACTTCGTTGTTCATCTAGAAGCAAAGATACCTCAATCATGCAAAAAAAAAAATCATAAAATTCCTACGTGTCTTAGGCCTCACCTTGTCTTGAGTCCTTGATTTGATGCGCACCTGCTGTTGAACAGCTCAATGACGTATGTTGTGCTGTCATTTGGTATCCAACTTCTTGATTGGTCGCGCCGTTGATGAGTTCTCGTCTCCCCTGTCGGCTTAGGCGGGGCCGTAATTATTTGGTTGACTGTCGACGTGAAGCCCAAACTGCTGGGCTTCGATGCCAAGAAATACTTGCAGCAGCCGTGGGAGCGGCTTCGATTTGCGGGGCATCTTCTTAACTAAGCCTGCTAAACTGTTATGTAAGCTGCTAGGGTGTTCTAGGCCAGGTACAAGGCACGGGAAAACTCCACTGATAGCCCGATGGGTTCGGGTCCTGAATTACCTACATGTAGGTACCTTATTCAATTGTTAACAATTCAGGTCGCACGCAACATTACCTAAATAATATCTTTTAGGCGTCTTTTCCAAATGGCCGAGCAAAGATGAGCTTAGCACCACGTGTAATTGTCACATAAGATCTATAACTGCCGTCTCAAAGTTATTCCTTGCAGATGACGAATCGTTGCAAACATTAGTCCTGGCCTGTTGCGACATCATCATCTTACAAAAGATGTGACAGCACAATTTTCGACATGGATCCATGGCATATAACCCCAAGAAAACGACGTGACGATTAGCTATTTGGGCAGATCCTACTCATCAGTTTTTGTTTTAATCTTCAATAACCAGATATGAACTGTTGGAAGAAGCTCCGCCAGATCGCTATGTTCCGATCACGGATTCATGGGAGTCCCTTGCTGAAGGACAATAGCGATATTGCTTTGGGTTGCTCGGCATGCGTATCAACTTCGTCATTCACGTGGCGTTTGCAGCTTGTCAATATTCTCGGCGCATGAACCCACCGAAATTGAGAAGCTCTGTGCGGCTTTCTTAGACCGAACATAATCCAGGGGGGAAATTCCGAGACCAGGTCGTCCACAAAAATAATTTCCGGTCTTTCACTGGTGACAGAAAATAAAATCCAAGACAAAAAAGTTGCGACTCAACAGAGCACGAAAAATGTGTTTTCGTCCCTACGCTCGGCGAGATCGTCGTTAGGCATTTTCGTCATGATATAAGCCTAGGTATTGATACACGATACGGGACTGACATATCACCTGTAAGACTTTGTACGTTATACTATAACTGCAAGTGATCTGATGGTTTTCGTTAATGATCTGGTCGAATAAAATAGGTTATTAAACTTACCTAATGATAGCGAAGCAGCAAGTTCAACAAGTAGAGAAATACTTCATACTACCAATGAGAACGATTCATCCTCTCTCCACACCCCTCCGCGTTTCCGTATAGGCGGATCTTATCGTCTTAAGATTCTTTCGAGACCTAAGTTCCACCCGCTCGTAGAATTGGCTTGTTATTTTACCTCTGTGCGTATACGAAAAGATTGCCTTACATCATACGTTTTCTTATAATGGTTCCCTTCCCGCTTACTACCAAATGCTGTACAAATAAACATTAACCGTTGCAGCTGTAACCCAATCCGGCACTACTACTCGACGCGCATATTCTGAAACGGAGTCGCACATTTCAATATATTTTATGTGTTCAAATATGTAACCTTTCAATGTATTAGATGTAACTAGGTGTGGTATAAGATATGTTTAAGTGTTCCTGTATGTATGTATACTATGTACGGAATATACACTAGGTAGTAAAAAGAGACAGCTAGCTAGGTAACTTTTCAGGGGCATGCCATGTTAATTCCGACGATTGGAGAAGTTCAAGACTCGCGTTAATCTAAATTAGGCCCAGCCTCTCAATCTTGTCACTTTCTGGGCTCGACCTGTGGGCAAGGGAAAATGTCGATCTAAAAGTAAAGTTCAGACTAATAAGACCAACATACATTTTATGATATAGTTAACATATTATTACATTGAGAAAAGAATTCAAATACGATAGTTGGAAACGTATAGAGTGAACATACTAGGTTTTGTAAAATTCGCCCGCTCAGAATACCAAATGCAGCTATGATGTAGCATCTGTAGATACAAGTATGTATCACCTGCAGAAACCGCAAGGCACATGCATGATGCCAGGGGGTAGATTACTACATGTATATATGTATATGGGGTACTTACCTGTGCTCGGTGCTGCAATACATAACACTACAAGAGGGACCCGAACTTGCACACAGACTTTCCGATCAAAGTAAACTACAACCATATGAAGCTTGTTTTCAGTACCTAATTAGACCTAGGTACCTAATTATTCGATCGCCGAGATGTCCACTTCCATTTTCCCCTGAGTCTAAAATCGACCAAAGTTTTGCTTCCGCAAATTACAGTACACGCTACAATCGCGGTAATCTATTCTTCAAAAACTTTTAGCCAAAGTTCTGTTTTCGATACCCTCCATTTCTCAATTTATCCTATATACATACCTACTTCGTACCATACCCCTTGTATGTAGTAGACGGATCTACACTACGAGACGGCCAACCGTCGTGCCCTAGTTGCGATTGGCATTATTGTACATACATACGGGACCTAGCCTATGTACAATTTAAGCGCCTCTTCTAATTCTGGGACCTTGGGGCCTTGGGGACCTGCAGCGAATCCCTCTCGGTATTGACCCGGCATCCTGCATCTCGCACCTGCATCTCGCAGCTACCTACTCGCAGCCACATCCCATCCAGTTCGTCCAGTTCGACCTTCCCTTCTCTGACCTCCACATCGGCTGCATACTCTACCGAGTTGGAGTTGGGTGTTGGACTTGGAAGTTGGAGTTGTACACCGCTTCTGTACGCTACAGCAATCGGAGACACACAAGTACACAGGTGAGACCAGTCGCAATTAGGCAAAAACATTATCAGCCCTAGCCTTGATCGCTGTGGTTCATTCCCTCTCCTTGCGTCTAACCGCTATGGACTACGGTGCCGCATCCAAGTCAACCGCTGCCGGACAACTACCCCCTATTCCCCGTCAGAGTCGCCACCAATCCCGGAGGAAGGCAATTGATCCTTCCATGCACTTACATCTTCGTGACGGTGACATAGATCGCGCCGGCCTACCGCCAGGCTCTCCCGAAGTAATTTCGTCTCTAATTACCAGTCTATCTGTCATCTCAAAGCCCGCGAATAAGCATTTCGAGGGTCAAAGCCTGTCTATGCCAAACTCGCCACGCGACGGTAGCTTCGGTGTTGAATACGGGGCATTCCCTGCTTCTAAGCTCGGCCGGCTACAAGAGGAGGATCTTGACCTCAACGAGTTGGCTGCCAGTTCCCCTACCATTCGAACAGCAAAACCGCCATCTGGCTTCTCCCCATTGACTGCCCCAAAGTCACCACGTCGTGAGTCTTCGGGTGGTGGGTTGAAGTCTCTCTTGCGCAGCTCGTCTAGACCATCGTCAAAAGGTTCCGTCTCGTCGCACGATGATACACGTAGCATAGGCAATCTTTCGATCGAACGTGGATTACCGCCCACACCCGAATTGCGCAGACAACGATCGCACGACAGCTGGGGAAAAAAGCAATCCCGCAGTCACAGGGGTTTAATGTATATGAGCTCGAAAGAACGATTACGTGCCAGTGAGACAGAAAGGAAGCGCGCAAGCTTAGGGTCCATTGGTACATCTAACAGTTTAAGTGCATTGTCACCTAGGACTGACACTATTCTTGCCGAAATCCCGATTCGCGAAGAACCGAACGATTCACCAACAAAAGAAAGCATGTACGATTTAAGTCCATCCATCGATACCAACAACGTCCATATGTCAATTCCAGCTCGCGACTCTTCTTTACGCAAGACGGGAACCAACGCCAAAAGATCCTCGCATAGGTCTTCACGGTCGAGAAGAGAAGGCGACGGCGGCTTCAGCGACACTATTCCGGAAGGATCTGAACATACTACGTCGCGCGACCCATCCGATACAAGACGACGACACATAAGCCGAGCAAACTCGGAGGCTGGTGCTCGGAGAAGAGACGATTCTCTACCACCCGAAATGCCACACTCAGCAAGAGCAAGCACATCTTCTGCTAAGAAACCCCAGGAAACCAATTATACGCATCAGCGCTCGAGATCATATTCAACTGATACAAACGGATTTGAGGATGGCGCTCCATTTCCGGCGGTAGCTCAGAGTAGAAGACGTAGTGCTCATGGAAGTGATCGCAAAACATCAGGGCGCACGACTCCGGATTTGGGCGAGATAATTAGACCTAAACGAAGCAGCTCACGGTTAAAGCGTCTTTCGGCAGCAGGGCCTAAAAGCCCGGAGCTAGAGAGGAAAAAGGAGGTGGCTACTCCGGAGCCCATGGTGGGTTACGAGCGACCTCAAAGCGCTGATTCCATTGACGATGCTGTCGAGTCCTATTTGTGCTCGCCGAGGCTGTCGCAGAAGATCCGGCATCCGCAGACTGGCCGTGTCATATCATTTTCTGAAGTTGGCGATGCTGAAGGCTCAGCAGTATTTTGCTGCGTTGGCATGGGTTTGACTAGATATATCACCGCGTTTTATGATGAGCTGGCGCTGACACTGAAGTTACGTCTGATCACTCCCGATCGGCCTGGCGTGGGTGATAGTGAGCCGTATGCTGACGGGACGGCGACACCGCTCGGTTGGCCTGGTATGTCTATGCTCTTGTTTGATATCTCATCTTACGCGAATATTAACAGATTATAGATGATGTTTATGCGATCTGCCAGGCGCTCAAAATCAACAAGTTTTCTATCCTTGCGCATTCTGCTGGCGCTATTTACGCTCTTGCTACCGCGCTTCGCATGCCACAGCACATCCGTGGCCGTATTCATCTTCTAGCCCCTTGGATCCCTCCGTCGCAGATGAATGTGTTCGGTACATCTCAAGCCTTACCTCCTACCAATGCAATACCTACATCCCAACGGATTCTCCGAGCTTTGCCAACTCCTTTCCTTAAAGCAGCTAATAGCTCCTTTATGACGGCTACCAGCAGTTCTATTACTAGCTCATTACCTAAAACTAACACGCGTCGTGGGAAGCGGAAGTCCTCTGCCCCTGCTGGCTCAAACAATCGCCGAGATATAGCACCTAGCTTGGATAAGGAGAATTTAGTGCAGGACACTGCAGACGGGAAACCCCTCCCGCTCTCTGCCAGCGAAAATATGGATCAGTATCGTCCCAATGACAACGAATTTAATCCCCAAAATACTATTATTACTGCGGCCAACGACGCTATTGCGGATAAAGAAAGACAAATGACATACGACATGCGGCTCACTCACGCGATTTGGGAACTCGCTACTACAGGAGCTAATCCTGCCGTGGACTTGCTTGTCTGCCTAGAGCGAAGGCACACAATTGGCTTTCGTTATGTAGACATTACCCGCCCAGTCACTATTCATCATGGAAGCAGGGATACACGTGTCCCGGTCGAAAACGTTAAATGGCTTGGAAAGACGATGCGGCGTTGCGAGGTCCGCGTTCTCGAGGGTGAAGGACATGGACTGATGGCTAGCGCTACGGTTATGGGCTCCGTATTGATGGAGATAAGTAAGGAGTGGGATGACTGGATGCTGCTCACAAATTCGAAGCGGACCGACGAGAGAGGCCGAAGCATACGGGCCGGCGCCCGGTGAAAAAGCATAATTACCTACTTATGGTATAGAGATGTGTTTTCTGGAGGAACATGATATCGTAATATTTGCGATTTAGATCATACCCGGCGCATGGGAGTTTTGCTGAATCACGGCTTAATGGTAATAGGGTTTCTCATTCGAAGGAATGTTTTTGTTTTGTTGCTTTATATACCATGACAAGCTTGACAGCGCTCTACGGCCATTAAGCACCTATCAAGCTTAACAGAATCAAGCGTTGGAGACCAAAGCTGGGCGTTGTTGGATAATGAGTATTAGAGAAACGAGGGACAATACCGTGTACAAGTAGATTTTAAGTCATAAAAGCGACTCGGCCGAGAGTCTGCATAGTAACTAATGTCTAACTCGAATCTCTTTTTTGAACTGGGCTGTAATACATATTCCGTAGCCATAGATGCATAGGTCATCCTTGATATATTAAGTACTTAGGTACTCTAGCTTACCTAAGATTTTCGTGATTACCTAATGTATGTAGCTAAACGCACGGGCCCATTGCAGTATTACGGGGATAAACTTCGGCGACCCACGTGATCTATTCCTTCCCTAGCTTAGGGTCTTTCCCATGCGATCAACCAGTCAACCGGTCAACTCGATTTCGCTGTGGAAATTTTACGAGACGAGACGCGTTGCGTTGCGCTGCGACAAGACGAACGGCCCCCGGCAAGCTCATGCAAGCCATAAACATATTTTGATATTTTGATCTTTTAATCCACCCTAACTCCAAAACTTCATTCCACTGGGTACGATACATACATACATACAATACCCATTCATATTTAATCAAGTCTTAACCCAAGTGTCTGACTTTCTAGTTCTAAATATTGTTTGGCGCGTTGCCAGCCTTCAATTATTCCTTCCAACTTGTACTATCAGCATGAGATGACATAGAAAGACTTAATTGCGAAAACTGCGAAAACTGCGAAAACTGCGACACAAAATGGAGGCTAGAAGTACTCCGCAGGCGTTTCTCTCGTCCTACGCGCCGCGATTGCGCGTTTACAATAATTCTCTCCTCACTCCCATAATTCATTCCACCGCACCCACCGGCCCGGTATCGCGAACGACGAAACGTGGCACCACGGTAATTAATTATGCCGAGGACGGATATGACTACGATGACGACGATGACGATGACTCGAGACGGCGACCTACGGGCTTGCGTAGTCTGAGAAGAGAAGACAGCGCATCACGGATAGATCCGAGCGATAAGTTTGGGAAGGAGACGAATACCCCTGTTGCAGTTCAGGGTATCTGGAGGGATTGGATGCTGAAGACCAAGAATCGATCAGATCTGAACAACCAGGCCCAAGCTGCGATGCCTGTCACTCTTATTCCTATTCGTATCGACGTCGATATTCCCGCCTTCATGCCCTCCGCGGCGTACCCTCTGCCTCGGGGTCTTAACCAGCCACCTCCTCAGATGGACCCTGCGTTATACAGGACAGGCGACATGACAGTTCCCTATAAGCTAAGGGATATTTTCTTATGGAACTTACACGAGACTGTCATGACCACAGATCAATTCGCGCTCAGCCTCGTTCAAGATCTAGATCTTCCCAACCAAGGCGCTATTGCTGCCGAGATTAGCAGACAGATCAGAACCCAACTAGAAGAGTACGCGGGTGTTGCGCTCCATCCACTTTTCCATTCGGAAGATAAGGCGCCTACGAATGGCGCCGGGCTAGCTCCTCAGTTGAGCTTCCGCGATACCCCGGCAACTCCAGCTACTCCTCTCCCTAATTCAACACGCGCTCCTGAAACTCCGTTCCGAAATGGTCTCGATACCGGATTTGATACTCCAAAGGGTGCTCGTTCGCAGGTCCCGGAAATAACAGCCAGTGCCACACCAATTCCCGCCGACTCGGATGAGCTGAACCCCGACGACACCTACCGATGTATAGTTTCCCTCAACGTAAATCTTTCTTCCCAACTCTACACGGACAGGTTCGAATGGTCGTTACTCCATCCTCCTGGCACAGCAGAGGCATTTGCTAAAGTTACGTGTGCGGATCTGGGCCTCGCTGGTGAATGGGTTCCTGCTTTAACGCATGCAATATATGAGGCAGTATTACGTCTTAAAAAGGAAGCTTGCGAAGCCGGCGGTCTCGTGGCGGGATGGGGTGGTATGGGAACCGAGTTTCCCAATGACGCTGCTCACGGTGCGGATGCCGGTTGGCGGTATGATCCTGAGCATCTCGCGGACGAGTGGGAGCCCAAGATCGAAGTGCTGTCGAAGGAAGAGATAGAGAAGCGAGAAGTCGACCGAGAACGACAGATCCGACGTCTTCGCCGAGAAACTGCTAGATTTAGCAGTAATGCCGGCATGATAGGTGGCGTACCAGGCTTGGGCTTCGAAGTTGAAGAGGAGAGGATGGGACGTGGAGAGAGATCGAAGAAAAAGAGGAGATTCCGTAGTTTGAGTCCCCTCGGGCGATCTGGTACTCCGGGTGGCAGGAACACGCCAGATGTTGGATACGGCGGAGGAGGGGGCGGAACGCTCACCGACCAAGAAAGGCTTAACTGGCGCTGTACGCATTGCCGTATCTGGGGCACGAGCGTCTGGGCAGTCAGAGATGGACCTTGGGGTCCTAGGGTAAGTTACATTACGATCTTTTACGTGGGGATATTTACTGACAGCCGGCTCGTTTAGTCCCTCTGTGCCAATTGTGGTCGATTCTATGAGCAAACCAAGAAGCTGCCTCGGTGGACAAAGAATTTACACTTGGTGGACTTGCGTCCATTTTAGGGTGATGGAGCTCGTGACCAGGCTCGTGAGCCTCCCAAAGAGATGGACGTGCCTGAAACTAGAGTTCGAAGGAGGAGAAGAACCGGAAAGTGATTTTAGTACCAGGGGGTGTGTTTACGAGAAAAAGGCGTTTCTGGTCGGAAACTTGCAATATAGCATGGGGAGTTTTTCTTTTTTTAAATCACCTGCCAGGAGTCGTTGGCTATGGTCTATACCACTGACATGTCTGCGCGCGTGAAAACGCAGACAGTTAATCAAGGATCACTTCGCTTGTCGCTTGGGCTGTCTCAGGGGCAAATATTGCATTTTCTTTCTGTTGGCTCTATCATCGCTGCCCCCCCATTTGTATACTAGATTACAGGTGCGCGCGAAGGCTGCAAGGAGACACTATCGAGAGAACTCCGCCACGTTAGGGAAATGCCCAATACCAAAGCACTAATTGCTGTTGCACCTGTTGTACTAATCCCGATGAATATCTCGCATTGCTACATATCCAAACCCTTCCCACAAACACACATACTACATGCCACCTTTTGCATACGATTAGGTCCCTAATTACCTAGTCATCCTAATAGATTCCCGGAAGGATCTTGTACGGCACCTCGCGCTTGAACTGAGCCCACTGCTCCTTATACTTGTTGGTGCAGTAGCCGTCGAGCACGCCCGCAGCACGGTAGCTCAGATCCCACATCTGCCAGGCCGTCATAAGGAGCCCGCCGATCCAGCCGGTAGCCACCATGGTGTACCCGCCGCGCCAGAGCGAGTAGCCGAGGTAATTAACGTGGCGGGCCCAGCGCCACACGCCGACCTTGCACACCTTGCCCTTGTTCTCGGGCGCGTCCTTGAAGGCCTTGCGCTGTGCCTCGGAGACGGTTTCGAGGGTCAGGCCGAAGATGTACATAGCTAGGCCGAAGAGCGTGCTGAGGGGGATGCTGACGGGGGAGGTTAGGAAGGGCAGCGAGATGGTGATTTGCGGCTGGGAGAATAGCGACGAGGTGGATGCTGCTTGGGATAGGATGCCGTTGGCGCTGTTCATCACGGTGTTGTACAGGGCGACGGCGGCCGCGGCACCCGCCGGGAAGGATTCGTACGAGAGCACCGTCTGCCAGTAGATCTGCTTGGCGGCGGAGCCGCATGCGAAGACGAAGAGCAGAGCGCTGGTCGGGTGGCCTAGGGCGTCGACGAATGGGATTCCGGTGTGCAGGACGGCGGTGGATGCGGTTACGGCGCGGGTGATGCCGGCGCGGGCTAGGAGGGCGCTGCCGAGACCGGCGGGTGCGAGAAGAGCATGTTGGAGAGGGAGATCCAGTAGGCGCAGACCGACGAATGTTAGGGTGCCCCAGGGCGTGGGGGAGCGGTCGCCGCGCTGGATGAGGTCGATTTTTTTGTGCCAGGGCTTGGAGTCGGGGTTAGAGTCGGCCATGGTTGCCTCAATATAATATGTTTAATGCTATATCACCAAGATTTTGACTTGTGCAAGAGGGATGATTGGATTATAATTGATAGAGTTAATGATGATGTATTAGACGAGTTTGGTAGGTAAATAAAATACTAACTACGAGCTGTGGACGTCCGAAGGCATCATGTTGTGCAACCACCGCGCGTCATACGGATTCCAGCTCGGATTTGGCGAGGGAGAGATTAGAGAGGCGTTTTTAGTGCAGTGCCATACATACCTAGGTACATAGATAGATCGAGAACGCCGCCTTTCTTAGATGTTGCACGACTGACAATCAGATCTGAGTATGTAATGTAGTAATGTGTATTTTCGTCGTACATCAATAGACAGGCGATAATTACCTAATTATCGACAGTAGACCTTACAGCTAGCTACCTCTAGGTAGGTAAGGTGCGGCGAGAAGCTCATGTGGAGCTCCGTCGATCGATGACGGCATAGCTTTGAAATCGCGGGTTTAAGGTTTGCATAGTGATAAGAGTTATCGGTCTACGTAGTATGTACCTAGGAACCTTGGAATAAGAACGGAGGCTTGCGAACGGGATGAAAGGTTATAAACTCTTACTCTTAATAGATCACTTTGACCCATTACTCGTTGCTGGGTATGTGTGAGTATGAGGGGGCCGGGGTTCAATTATTAGTTTATCATCCTCGAGCTCTTATTATGTCTTATATGCAAATATAGGCATCAGATCTGCATATCAATTTTTAGTCTCTCTGTTATCCGATTCATATCGCGATTTGCGGGAACGTAAACGTGCCGCCATTTCGGGATAGAGCTCGGTGGAGCAAAGTGTGCCTTAAGCCGGCGATGGCGCCTTGGCTATATACTGTACTGTATCTTAAAAGATTTTTATAGCCCATGTTCTCGCAGGTGGACTTATACATCGAGTATAGACAGAAAGTCGAGACCAAGCCGTCAAAGCCAACGTAGACCCGACCCCTCCCCTGCTATCTCAACAGAACAAAAGAAATATAACAAACTTGTGACAGAAGCCCCGCGTTAAGTAAAGTGACTCCTCCTACATCGCAGAGTGGCATCGCAACATCCTTATGCTACATAATCTATGCACCTACGGGCCCGCTCGGCCGTCTTCTATACGACCGCGAACAGTATACTTCGTAAACACCTCGAATCGGTGTTATATCCCGTCTTAGTCAGAAATTGTATGGTTACATAGCTATACCGGTTAGGAATAGTCGAGGTTCGTTGCTTCTTTCTGCAAGCCTTTAAAGCCACAGCCAGAGCTAGCTATCACGTACTTTTTGTTAGAAGTTTACCTAAGGGTAACTAGGTAAAGGCGTGGAGTACGCTACTGTTCGTTATCCCGGCGACTTGTCTAACTTAGTAACCTTCTCTATCTTGACCCGTAGCTAAATCTTATACATCAAGTATTTGACGGACTGCGTAAAAGGATTGTGGGAGATGTAGGTATATTTTGAAGAATTCAACTGAGAGTTACTTGCGGGTTAAATATTAAGGCGCGGCGGGAACGGAGGTGATTGTCATCCCAACAACCTGGATGGAGCTTATAATGTGACATCTTGACAACCACAGATCGTTGCTATTTGCAAACTACCCTGCATGTAAAACATATCCTACCTAGTGTCTCCATAATAGCTCTTGTTGGGTTCCCGGGAAGAGGGTCAGACGGCTCGGCGGGCTCCAGCTGTAACCTTCTCTAATGCAGAGCAAATGCGACGGTGGCGGGTTGATATATTGCACCGCCAGCCAGTCCCTCGTTTATATAAACAACCTCCAAGTTCAATCGGGGCAGTAGACTGCCAAGCAATTCTCGCTGTCCCCTTTCCCCTTTTCAGCCTCCAAAAATAAACCCCAGAAGTACTCCAAGATGGCCGAAGTTCCTGTTATCCAGATCCTCAACAAGAAGGATTACTTCAAACAGGCCTTGGTGCCTATTCCGGACCCCCTACCACCTCTAGGGGAGTCGTCCCTACGGATTCGGACGGAGGTCATTTCTCTAACCTCTAACAACTTTACCTACTGCAAATTGGCTGACATGGCCGATTGGTGGGGTATCCACCGAATCCCGCCCACGGCCCCGGCACCATACAACGATGATTCCGTCTACGGCCGTATCAGCGCCTGGGGCTACGCCAAGGTCGTCGACTCTACATTTCCCAGCGTGCCCAAGGGAAGCTACGTCTGGGGATACCTCCCTATCGGTACCTTGCCCCTAGACTTCCAAGTCAGGGAGACCGGCGCCCCCGGCCAATTCTTCGTCACGGAGCCTTACCGGAAAAAGCACTTGAACTTGTACAACCACTACTTCGTCTTCCCGGAGTCGACATCTAAGGAGATCCAGGCCAAGACCGACGCCATCGCCTACGATGCCTTGTTCCGCGTAATGCACCTGACCGCGTTCCTCATGGCCGAGTTCATGTTCTCTCAGGACCCTAAGCAGTCCGTCAATCTAACCCCGGAGCAGGCCGATCTGACGGACGCCACCGTCATTAACTTTGCGCCCGGCTCCAAGGTCGGCCTGTCATTCGCCCGCGCCTTGAGAACGAACCGTACGGCGTCGAAGCCGGCGCGCATCGTGGGTGCCGCAAGCGAGTACTCACAGGCGTTCGTCAAGAGCACAGGCCTATACGATGCAGTGGAGGCGACGAGCGCGGACCCTCTCGAGGTAGCGTCACGACTAGGCATCTCCAAGGACAGCAAGATCGTGATCGTAGACTTCGGTGGCCGTAACCACGTCCAGTGGAAGTGGGCGGCAGCCCTGGTATCCGCGTACCCGCGCGTGCAGTTCATCATCGTAGGCGCCGAGGTTTCGGAGCCGTCAGCCGCAGTGGCACCCGACGGCAAGCCCCCGACCGGCCTCGACATCTCGCAGGTCATGGCCGATACTCAGCAAAACCAGGCCATTGCCAAGTTTGGCGAGAAGGAGTACTACGCGCGTGCGGACGCAGCGTGGGAGAGCCTCCGGAAGGAGGGCATTCCCGGTGTGAAGCTCGTCTGGGGCGAGGGCATGGAATCGGTTAAGGATGCGTGGGATAGGTTTGCCAAGGGTGAGGTCTCTTCGGAGGAGGGGCTTGTCTTTAAGGTATGAGGGGATAGGAAGCTTAGGTATTAATAAGCTATGATCATTATCGAAGCTACAACCTTGGTGAGGGTGAATATACCTTTACGCCTATCGAATTCTAGAGGTACGTCCTAGAGCTTAAGTACGTATCAATCGAATAACGTAAAAGAGTCTTCCTTTATATGTACCTAAGGCGCTAACTAATAGTGTTACTGCGTCATAGGTGCCTCTTAAGATATAATTTATGTTAAATATGTGCATGTATGTACCTTGTATTGATGGATATTGCCGATCGAAAGTGCACATATAGACTTTAATATCGTTGTGGAAGGCACGAAACTTATTGAGCTTCAATGTTCTTTAGGCAGGTATTTTGAAGGTACGGGTGCTTAAACTTTGCTAATTTTAGGTAGGTAATAGCTACCTCTTAACGTACCTGGTTTTATCCCATACATCATACCCGTTTGCTTAGACGTTTATGTAATAGGTACGATCCAGGTGTTACGACCCCATCGTCGTTGCCGTTTGAATTGCATACTAGATACACCTTGAAGGAAGGCGTGAGTTGCTTGCAAAGTGTATATATAAGATCTATCTATTGCTTAGGTACCTACCTAGGTCCTAGGAGTTAACATCTATTAACTTTTATACAACATCAACTTCTCCATCAAACTTCTAATATTCCTTAATCGCATAGCACAATGGATAGAATTCCAGAGGATATTATCGTAATCATTGCTTCTCTCCTTCCATCCAGAAACCTCGCACTCTTCGCCACGTTGTCACGGCCGTGGCAGCGAGCTATCGAGCGCCGCACATTTTCGACATTATACATTAACAGCACGACTAATGACCTATATGTGTTCGAGCGTATCGTCTGGGCTAATTGTATGCGCCGCAAGTTCCCGCAGAGCCTCACGTTCAGCGTCCAGCCATACATTGACAAGAGGAGGGTGAAACCTCCACAGCACTGGCAGCACTTTAGCGCATCCCTGACATGGGATTTGCGGCGACTCTTCCTCATCCTAGCAGAGAGCGACGATGAGAATAAAATGACCCTGAAGCTGGTTGGAAACATCCGTGACGACGAGAAAGACGATGGGCCTGAGTATCTTCGCCCGCGCCTTGCGTTGATTGACAACGCCGACCATTTCCCAGTAGTGAAGTGTGTGTCAAAACTAGTGTGTAGCATAGCTAATCCAAGGCCACGAATAGCGCTGCGCGCTGCCATCAACATCGCAAAACTGTTACCAAGTCTAGGATGCATCGAAATTACAGCACGAGAAGTAGGGTTTTACAAGGCAGGTGAGATAGTAACGTACGAGGAAGATATGGAAGCTCAAGCGGTGCGTCGGGAGGATGAGCATGGCTTAGCTGATGCTCTAGTCGAGGCCAACTTCCTCTCCGGCACGGAGTGCCGAGAAGTGTCTCTGTGTCTGGATTGGAATGATCCGTATTCGTTCGAAAAATATGATGGATGGGTCGTTCCTGACAGAAGGAATTCGCCATCATACGACCCTCTCGGAGCAGCTGTGCGTACGTGGTCGTACAATCTCGTCTCCCTCAAAGTCTGTGGCGTCTTTGACGGTTCGCTTTTCTGGCCGAGTGAAAGCGAGCGGCTGGAGATGCCTGTATTACCCTGGCCTTGCCTAAGAGAATTCTATGTGAACTTAGGAATAGTGACGCCGGCGGGAGGCTGGTACTTTATAAATCAACCCGACAGTCACAAGCGAAACGTACCCTGCGAAGAAACGATGCAGCCGTTATTCGTGGCCTGGGCCAAGGCGCTCGAATCTATGCCTGTCCTACAACAAGCCGCACTCCGCTTCCGTGTAATTGACGACTCGGAACAATACATGTATAACTGGTTAGTCGGCATTCGGGCACCTGGCACCGGTCCTCGGAGGGGGAAATTAGAGGGCTATTCGCATAAATCAAGGCTCATCTTTAAGAATACTAAGGGCTAGAGGCCCGAGGAACCGATCATGGTGAAGCTGAAAGCGATGCTTAAAGATAGGTTTCCAAGCAGGGAGATGGTCATGGTGGAAATCAGCACTAAATCCTCTTTCCGAGGATCCACTTTACACCGCATTCACACATGATGTATACATTTGTACGAACTATGGGCAAAAGATGAAGCTTTTGTGGATTAGTAATCTTAGTACTAAATGCTAGACAATCCAGTTCCGTGCCGGATCATGATACACGCAAGAGTAAGAAGACTTAAACAGTATTATAAATCATAAATGCCTACCTAGGTAATACCGAATATCCTCTTCCCTCCCGTTCCTATAATAGAATGCCCGAAGCCAGACACCATGCTAATTACGGACCGTCTCAACGCCCTTCCATGCAGACATGCCTCGATAGACTAATAAGATCTCTATGCCGTTGAGGTCATTTATATTTCAAGGAAACCACAGTTCCTTTACACTACTCAAACTTAGCTCCCCTCGACCCTCCCGAACTCCCCCTCATCAGAGCCTCAACATCAACATCTACCCACTTCATCTCCCTACCCATTGGCGGCGCCGATACGTTTTGGGGCGGTGCCGAGCGTTGTTTTATATGCTTTCTTACGCGCAGGCGGTCTACCAATTCGCCCGAGATCATCTCGAAGCTCTGCTTCAGTGCCACGGACGTCTCCCAGCGCTCGCCGTACTTCCCGAGCGTCCGTGTGGTTTTCTCTAAGCACGCCAAGCTTCTCTCTACATTGTCTACGCCAGGGCCACCGGGGCGCGGCGGTAAAGGGGGTGGCTGCGGTTTACCGACTTCGATGAAGGGCATTGGCGGAGTGACGCCTGCGAGGAGCAGGTCTTCCGCGTCGCGGAGGACGGCAACAAACTGGCTCGCCATGAAGAAAACGCGTAAGGCGTCGTGATATGTATAAAAGGCGGTTTTCATCTCGCGATGCGATATATCATATATGCGGTCGAGGTACGCAATGGTATGCTCAAAAATGAGTAGCCGGCCATAATCAGTTATATGAGGTGCTCTCGCCGACGGGGCTATGCAATAGACGAAACTGTATCGCAGCTCAAGGTCGAATAGCTCTCTCATGCCAATTGGCAGGGTAGTAGGGAGCGTCTCGGCCCATTCTCTCATATCTTGGCACATCTGCCAAATGAATGAGGATGCATTGTGTAATGGAGTTGGTTCCGCTTGGAAAAGTGCCTGGTACCAATGCGATTGAGCTCGTCGTAGTTGGAAGAGGAGGAATGCAGGCTCAGAACCGGAAAGGATTTTGCCAGTGATCGATGCTCGACGGCTGAATGATGAAGGCCGAGGCCAGCCAACATTTGTTGATGCGTCAGTGAAGGAGAAGGCGCGTGCATGAACCATACTGATGGACCTTGCTCAAAAAATTAGCATCTCTTATACTACGAGCAGGGGCGGAATTACATACCTATCCAATGAATAAACGCAGTAGAAGGTCTTACGCCTCATATCTAGCACTGCTTTGTCCGAGAGCTGTTCCGGCGGAGGATCCTGGTGAAATCCCAGGTCGATTACTGCTCTAGAGGTGAAGCCGATCAAGTGCCAGCTATCGAAATGAGCCGGATCTAGCATAGAATATTGAGTGAGAAGAATCAAAGATTGTATCTGTGTCGTGTAGCCTGGCATCAACGCTCTGTCTGCGTGTTGCAAGGCTTGAGCCACAAAGCGTAGTCCATTACGATAGTAATTATCGTTCTTCGCTCGACTCTGGGCGGCGGACCCTACGGCTAGCACCATATATACGAGCCAATAGTCAACATCTTTGATTGCTCGCTCTTGAAATGAGTACATTTGCTCAAGGATGGTGTAAAGTGTTGTTTCGGGGAATGCAGGAAACAAGGAATAAATATTTGTCATGTAATATTGAACAAGCGCAACGGCGTCCTGCTTAGGAGGCAGAGTTAAGTCCACGACGTTTGGAAGCGGGTCGTTAGAAGCGGCAGCTAACACGAGGCGCGCAAATGTCATGTTGCTCATCGTGGGTTCGAAATCCCTTGTCGTAGCATTAATCGACCTTGCCATTCATTATTAATACATCACCGGTGTAACCCAATGCTCGGCAGCAAGCGACTTACAAGAAGCCAAAGTCAGACATCAACGAATTGACATCGGATATTTCTCGTTTCCTAGCAGCTTTACGGTATATAGCCGCTTTGATAAGAGCAAGCGAATCTTTCCGGTCAGGCTCCGGCTGTGCTGGTGATACCTCGGACTCATGCTGAGCGACGGACGCCTTTCTTGATCGAGCGTACGCAAGTCGCTTTTCCAGCTTCTCTATGCGGAGTTCGAGCGCAGCGACGTAGCTGAACAGGCCGTGTTAGGAGTGATAAGGGCGCCTACATATAGAGCTGAGATCTCTTACCTCCGTTCCTTGCCCCTAGCGAATTGATCGTTGGCAGCCGAGCACTCTTTCTCCCGGCCGGCCTTCTCGCAGGCAGTACATGCCGGCAATTTCCCATCGCACTGGCAATATCGTCATCAGCACCGGGATTAATATATTGAACGACAGCTGGACTACCTTGACTTTAGCACTTCGACCTATTGATATCTTAGTCTTGACAATCTTTAACTACCTAATGTATAGGTTCGATGCGATAGTACTGACATCTAGAGCAGGCTGACACTGGTCGTGACACCCGTAATAACGGGTTATCCGAGAAACTTGATCGCGGCATACTGCCTGTCTTCAAGCGAGAGCTTAGGCGTGTATAGCTTCCCGGTTGTGGTCCCTGACGTCCAGGGTCTTCAGGGTTTTTAATAGTATGAGATAGCGCCAATTCAAGTGGAGATCGTTTCCACAGTCGTGATAGCTACGTGGGTAGATTGGCGGTTTTAGGTTAATTAATATATGTACGTGTTATTGGTAGCAGGCGACATGCGGCGTAAGAGTCGTTAAATTTAACTTCTTATCCCGCTGAAGAAGCGTTATTGCTGTTTGGGAAAAAGGTTATGACTATCGAAAGTGATAGTGGCGGTAGTAAGAATGAAAGATTCTAAGCTTGCACGTGGATATACCGCCTTCAGAGCCTTGGGGCTCAAGTAACGAGTCGAGAGAGGCGGCTTATTACTTTTAGTGGCGTTAGTAATACGTCTAGAGAAACTGGAACTAACAACCTCTGTACAAGCTGACAAGAAGCCTGTACAAGAAGCCTGTACAAGGTGTGCAGTGTTCCGAAGATGGGCTAGACCGTCACCACTACCACAGAAAATTGGGAGAGGGTGCGGTGGTATGTGTACCACAAACTGTGGGGGTTTCCGCCGATTTACAATTTAAGAATGATGGACCATTGCATAACCCATGGTTTGGCGGCTCCTCCTGGAAGCTTGGTGCGGCTTAGGATCTAATCGTCAACGATTCGCGGGGTTCCTTTCTTTCTTTGGTTCATCGAAGGAGCCGAAAGACATTTGTTTGAACTTTTGCTATTTCTGTCGTAAAACATCCGCTTTCCCGTGGAGCTGGGGTCATGTCGATGCCGGACGAGGAGTACATATGCTCTGCACAAATTATAAGGCTTGCTCATGTATCGAGTGCCAAACTACATGGGTTGCCGTCGTAGCGGGAGCTCCCTGCATCAGGGGGAAGAATTTCAACCCAGCTCGCTCCTCAACAATTTGTATTAGCCTTGTAACCACGAGGCATTCTAGTAGAGACCACGCGGGAAACCGCCCGAGAATGAGATCATGCCCGCTCCTTTCGTTCTCTTGCGCCTCGTCCAGGACCGATAGTTAATACCAGAACACCCGACTTCCCCACGCCCTCCCCTGCACGCAATAGACATGCGGTAAGGCTGGGTTCTTTCTGAATCTAGTTGGTGGTACAACTATTTGGGGGTATGCTTTGCGGACAAGTGACGTGATTGCCTCGCGAGGCGCCATGGCAGCCTGCATAATAATACATATATTTTCTTGATTCTGGCGCGGCCGTCTCATAGATGCATGGATAGGTGGTACCAAACCGTTGGTCGGGTGTAAGAATTTTTTTTTAAATAGAGAAGTCCGGTTGTATCAATAATCGTCGGTCAGCACGTTATTGACACCCTTAAAACCGATGCTACTGTTCCAGGATAAGCTCGATTAGGAAATGTGCCTAGTAAAAGCAGAGGAAGGGTATCTAAGAATAGAAACGGATTCTTGTAGTTGTACCAGGAAGAAATCCTAGGCACTTTTGCCGCACGCGTGTAAGTTAAAGTCGTAGCGGCCGGGATCTCATAGAAACTATAAGTTTATATTGTAAAGCGAGATGACATGCACGAATGAACGAAACGGAATTGTATCCGGTAATAGCGTTCATCGACCCTCCATCGACTACTATGTAGCTATTGACCCAGCCCGATGTGAAGCCGATAAAGGAACAGAAAGGTGAAACGAAACGGATGACAGGAGAAACTTTAGGAGTCGGGTGATTCGGACGACTCAAAGGCTAAAGCTAAAGATTAGATTAACTAACTAGTGAAGGTTTACTACATCATGGGGACTAATAACCTTGTTATGTAGAGTTTGATTCCCGTGAAATTGATCTATGGAAGTTGCTATTCAACTGTATACCTACCTCCTAGCCTAACATAATTAATTACATTGATGTACTATACGAACCTTCTATAATCGCGGGGCCAATCGGTGCTCCATTATATATACTCCGCGTTCTACGGTCGCTCCCCTCTCTTTAGCCTTGTAGCTACAAGTAGTGGCTAGGTACTATCTTATCGGGTATTATCAATCTGACAGTACATCATTGTTAGCGTATCAGACAAGCTAATATAGAGGTAGTTGATGCTAGGTAGATACGAGATATACATGTATATGCACAAGGCATTTCGTACGAATTGATAGGTACGGGTACGTAAGAATGTGTTCTCAAACTGAGAGCGGATATTACAAGCTCGACGGCGACGACTCTCCCTTCTACAGCCACATTTACGAAGCATTCTGCGGCGGCGTCTCCAAAAATCGAAATCATGATAAAATAAAA